ACAGTCTTCCTTAATACTGGTTTATGCGCTAAATTATTTGCTCTCATTCCACTCGCTTTGACGATATCATTTCATGTATTTAAAAATTCGAGCGTTAAAGAGTCAAATGTAAGTTGCTTTTTTTAGTTAACACAAGGGTTATTACGTTTTCAGAAAAAAAAGTTTTTCTCTGGTTTCAAACTAGGAGGACATCGTGGATCACCTTTAGAAGCACCAGAAAATTCTGTAGAAAGCTTTAAGAAGGTAGTGGCCTTCAGGCCTTAAAAACTGGCGTATTACTTGAGCTCATTTGCAGGCAAAAGAAGCCGGTTGCGAAGTGGTTGAGTTCGATATTCACCTATCAGCCGACGGTGTTCCAGTGCTCATTCATGATGACACTACTAAACGCACATCGAAAGAAAATGTTACTATTGCCGAAGCGACATTTGATGAGATCAAGCATATCTCACTCAATGAAGTCAAGTTGGTAGACTTTTCTTACACAGTGTGAATTTTGTACCTCGGAGTGCGTTTTGTGAAATGCAAATGGCAAGGGCCCTTTTGATCGAATTTGACCTTTCAAAGCTCTAACAGCTTTTAATCAAACGCTGATTACTAACACGTTTTTCTAAATCTGCCAAATGCTTTAAATAGATGGAAGTGATTGTTATGGTCTTTTCAGGGCTCATATAAAGACAGTGCCTAGTACGAAGAACGCCCATAATCGGCCGCAAACTGGGAGGAAACTAAGTCCCCGTGCCGTCGATTAGAGCACGTTATTTTTTTGATTCGCGCAAGCAGCAAACGAAGTGACTATAGTGGTTCTTATAGAACATCGCCTTTGCTTCTACAATTGTTGGTACTACCTCAGTTCTTGACTATAGTTCGAAATTGAAGAAGTTTTGTACCAAGTCATGCAGCTTGCCAAGTCGAGAAAAACTCGAGCGAATCATGATGCTTCGCATTTGAGTTTGTGCTGCTATTAACTTTGGGAAATTGTTGTGGAGCTATAGTCGTCCTCACCCTAGTAGTCGCACAGTGGACAGCCTCCCCAGTTCGAATTCAAACTGGGGAGGCCGGCCGCGGTGGAGCGCGGCTGACGCCGC